AGTAAAATCGAATTTTCCTATCTCATAGATAGAACTCTTTTCTACCTTTGGGATAGTCCAATTTTGAAAAGTTTGTTCAATTTTTGCAATTTGAAATTCCTTTGAATTAATATCCTTTGAAATATTACTTAATGCAGATGCAATATTTTGATCATCAATTTCTTCGTTGTTTTCTTGAAAATATGTTGACGTATTATTACTTCCTTCTTTTGAACTACCACCTTTACTAAACCAATTAGAGATGAAAGACATAATTAAATGTGGTGAAAGAAAACAGTAATCTTACAAGACACAATGCTACAGGCTAGACTAACGCTTTACCAAAGCTTACAAACGAGACTACCCAAAACGCCTACTCCGGCTAACACGGGTTGACCAACGTCTAACAGCAGACATTCATGGCTACACACCAGTATGACCTTTGACACGATGATAACAATAGCTTGACACTGTTTACACTTACATAACTCAATTATGGCTCTGATACCAAATTAGGCCCGGATAAAGGTTAAGGCAATTATGGATGGAAGTAAATAGTTTATTGAACTTAAAGAAAATACAAATACAAGAAATGCTTGAAATTTGAAATTATGAGAAATTACAAGGGAATCTAAAACTATCTTGAAGAAGGTGAATATTAATTATTCTACGCTTGAGCAAACACGGATGAAATGGTTTTCCTTTTAAAGACTCGGATATGAAACAATTGAAGCATCTTGAATAGTATCACGTAAAAAACTTTTCTTCAAATGAGAGAATCTGTCCACCAACATTCCACTTGAGAGATTCGTTGAAACAATTTTTTTGTCTACCACTTGAGAGCATCTTGAAAATCTTTTTGATAGCCACTTAAAAAAAGAACTCTCTTCACTTGAGCACGTGAAAAACAACACTTTTCTTCACATGAGAGAATCTTGAGTTCACAAAATTGAAAATATATGTATATATATATATATACACACACACATACTACAAAGGATTCAAATGATGAGTTACCTGTATCTCTAGCACAACATTGTGGCCTCTAAAAGCAAGAGCAATGATTCCAAGACCATTCAAGACATTACAAATTCCATCTAATCCCGATATCTTTGCCTCCCAAGGACCTTCCAGATCGTGCTTACCCTTGGTGATGATGAACAGTATCCAAATCAGGCTACAGTATACAACAGCTGAGATTGATCCGGTGAGTGAAATGTGTGCTAAGGAATCCAAGTTTGGATAGAATTGAGCCACCAAAATTGCCAAGCTTATGAACACCGGGAACCACTCTGTCCCTCAGTGATCTTGAATTACATTCAAAATCATCCTCACAAAGGACTTGGTAGGAATATTCCAGGGTCTTTCCCCCGGTGATTATGACTAGATGCACGTAGTACCTGATACGTAAATTGTTGAGAATACAGCCAGCAACTTCCACAATTTTTCACCTATATTGTTCATAAGGCATTCATCACATCAAATTGTTCATTTGATAGCAATTAGGCAATTATATTGAGATGGGATGGTTTAATTTGATCCTTACCGAAGGCTACCGTTGAGAGGTGGAGATATCTGGTGTGATGAAATCCTAACGGTGATTCGTGAAGATTGACGATAAGCCACTTGATGTAGAGCTGCCAACAGAATGCTATGGACAAACAAACAGTCCCTAACAACCTGTACACATCTAATCAAGGTAAGCGCATATATGTTATGACTTTATGTTTTATGTACAGAAATTTGAGTTGTTAAAAATAGAATGATTTTAGTATTGAAGGAATTCGCAGCATTCATAATTATGAAATATGGGTCAAGAATCCTTACTTGAAATGATGAATTCCAAGATCTTTTGAATGGTTGAATCATCTTGCTTTCCAAAACTCCAAATCTGCATTTTCTAGCTCTCCAATAGCCTCAATCCCGATCATAATGGAAGGGGATTATTAACCACAACCTAAGTGCCAATTTTTGTGAGTTTTCATGTCAAAATACTGGTTCTAGATGCCTTTCAATTTTGATGATATTTTCCATACCAATTTCACCGTTCTCAATCTGTTTTTTTTTCTCTGTTTTTCTTAAAACAATGATTGAAGTTTATGTGGGGAGTTAAGAAAGGTTATGGAGAGTTGAAGGTTTGAATTTCAAGTTCAAACCATTACCTCGAATCCACTTTATTGCCTTGCAGGTCGGGTCGGTCCCCCCACACGGGCGATCCACGACGTATTTTCCAAAAGTATGTTATTTAACCAAGTGGATATGTATGTACACAGGAATGAATGTAAGAAGGATCGATAGAGAAGTGATGAGAAAGTTGAGTTGATACTTGCCATTCGAGGAGCATGAAGGCTATAGGAAGTGCTAGGGTCCGAATTTCGATTCCTGAGCACAACAAATGGGATGCAAAGGTAAAAGCATTGCCCTTTATGGATTCAGTGATGGGGAGCCAGGCCCCTGCTGGATTCGCATCCTCGTGTTCCACTGATGTTTCTAAGTCGACTGTAATAATTTGCTGTTGTTCAATTTTTGTTGCCAATTTCATCGATGATACTTTTGTATCTACCCACACACTTCATTTCTGCCTTGCACTGCATCCTAAGGACATGTACAGATCTTTAATCTTTAAGACACTGACTACATATACGGACAAATTCAGGTGGGATTTGAACAGTACTCTACGTGCATGCTGCATCACACTGACTGACTGAATCACCATGACGTTTATATGTGACTTCATTAGGGAATACTTTGCTTTCATTTCAGGGTCCACAATACTTTTGTAACATAAATTTCTAAAAGCTTTGAATCTTCAATAGTTTTGATTTCAGTTTTAAATCAAAGGTAACTTAGATTCGCTTATATATTAATACTCGAAAAGGTTGTCCTATCTGGGAATCTCCAGGTCAAGAAACTTTGATTTTCTCTTGTATCCACCACATGTTAGAGGTGAAAAGCAAAAGAAATAGAATTTTTCCTACTTCAGACAATATGAATATCCTGCATTTCTTATGGTGATCATGGAGACTGCATATATGCTGAAGTAGTACAGAATCATACCATTCGCATAATCATCTGCATCTCTTTTTACCTGTCTACTCAAGAAAAAGCCAAGAAATAAAGGCTCTGATGCATGACTAATTATTGAAGCAATAAACCTTTAAAGAGTTTTTTTCCCCTCTAATGTTTTCAGGTCGGGATGAGGTGGGGAGGGTGTCAAAGATTCCTTGAGATTAAAAGTTAGATATTTTGCAATGTTCTGAAGTGACAGATTCCTTGAGGTCGAACCAGCATGACCTGTTTACTTACCGATCCTGTTAAGTAAATTCCAAGAGATAGCAGTATTTTTCTACTTGATGAGGTGAAAACTGCATCAGGTACAATTGGCAGCTACTTCTGAGTAACTGAAGAAAAGACTACAAAGTAGTACTATCTAGCTAATAGTGAAATGATAATAAAGGGAGAAGCTAGAAACTCCGAACCAGTACTCATTGGCTTTAAATATTGTTCCAGCCTCTATGATAATGTTTGATTTTTTACATCGAACTGAGGTACAAAATGTTGTTATGAAAATCTATATATAGGTGGCCAAGTCAGAATACAAGCAGCTGCTGGTTCATCTGTCCTTGATGCAAAGATGAGGACAAGCAACTTCTATTACTAACTAGTATAGGTAAGGCTTGAATCAGATCTCGGGCTCTACCTTGTTGAATCAACAAGATGATGTAGTCGAGGAAGAGTGCTTTACATGGTACTGTGATTGGTCCATCACTTGGGAGTCCATACTCCTCTTCAGATATCTTCAATAGCTCTCTGAATACGTCATTTTAAAGATAATCTAATGGAATTACATAGCGCCTTGGATCAGAAGTGTAGACAACAAAATGACCCCTCTCGGCCAGTGATGAAGTACTGCAACTCTCTGAATTCCTCCCAATAGTAGCAAATTTCTGCCACTTTCTTGCAATCTTGGTAAGTTTCTTGGCACTGATCATTTCCCTTCTGTAGGAAGATTGGATCGAAGAGAAAGTCGATAAGATTAGATAGAGATATTTTGAGCCTGAAATGTAAATGATTCTTTGTTGATCAGAATTCAAATGGATGTCCACTATATATATTATTGAGGTAGGACACAGACTTTCAATTCCCGCTTGAAAAGTTGCACAAATCAAAGGATGCAAAACCATGTGCTAATTGGTCACATGGGACCTTTCTGTAGAGACATTGCTAGTTAATTCTCAAAACTAATATGTGGTTGAAAGATAGAATCCACGTACATCTTCCTCTTTGTTGTTTGGCTTGACACGAGGGGGTCCGATTAGTTCGGCTCTCTTGTCATACAACCGCAGAAACTAATGAATGCGAATGGTAGACTAAACATGATATAAAACACTCTCGACTTTGATTAATCATCCTTAAAGTAGACAATTCCATTGCGTTTAGAAATTTCACATTTTGCCGTAATTTGTCTTATGAATTACTGCAGCGGCGAAAGAGAACATAGTATCACATTAAGGTGGATCTCTATAAATCTTACATATTCTTGAGTGTCTATTATTCTTTCTGTAAATTGATTGCTCTCGATGGAATATAATGAGAGTTTGTAACTCTCAACAATAATAACTTGATTCTTTAATAGATTGATGATCCATCGAACATCTCAAAAAAGGTAACTACGTGTAGTAGTAAAAAATAAGATTTTAGTACCCTTTTAGCTGTGTTTTCGTTGTTTGAAGCACCCTGTGATATTTCGACAACAGATGGAAGTTGCTTGTATCATTTTGCAATTTCACAATATATAGAATCGAGATCATTAATCCTTTGGAACTACCCAACTAGTCTACTAAAATAAGTTGTGTGCCCAAGCCAGTCAGAGAGGCGATAAGATATATGTGTAAAATGTTGCAGGGGCGATCTCCCCCCTCCCTCATGTGGCTCTATTGTACCCACTTCAGGTATGCTTACACTAATTTTAAGATGGAAATATGCTAATTGTTTCGTTAAACAGTACAAGTAAACTGATTTAAGCATCGGAGTGTAGTCGACCATCTATCCCCTACTATGTTGATGTTCGAGCAAACTCACATGTTATTGTTGTGCATTTAAGTAAGCAGTTTTAGAGTCTTGGCAATTAACTTGTATCTCCCAACACATTCCGATCTCAACAAAAGTGAAACCTGAATCATTCTTGATACTCTCAGATCCTCGATGTACCAGTTCCAGATTACACAACAGGTAAAGCAGGAGCTGCACATTAATTTCAGGGGCTAGCTTCTGGCTCGAGAACTGGGATTTCAGTCTTGCTGTGCAGCATGGATCAAAAGATATGTAATAGCTCATCAGAATAGGCTAGCAGGGTATTAGAACAGGGGGAATGCATCTGCTGATGGTCGATATACTGTGTGAACAAAAAAATGTATTTTACATTTGAATGTTAAGAATTCTCAACCACAAACTACACATCAATGTGAGTTCACAATTACACGTGGTCTTAAGTTACAAAAACTAGTTGTACATAAACTCTAATTCTGCTCATATCATTTGTCAATCTACAAAATATATTGGTGGCTGACTCAGCATATTAACAAATTCTGATTCTGATGAGGAAATGACAATAAGCAGTAGCTCTTTTCAACTGGCATAAGCAAATCTTCGCGTTCCGGCTCTAGCTCATTGTATCGATAAGATGATCTAGTCCATGATAAGAGCATCACATGGTAATGTGATTGGTCCGTCACTTGGCAGCCCATACTCCTCTTCAAACATCGTCAAGAGCTCTTCGAATACCTCGTTTTTAAGATAAGTTAATGAAATTACGAAGCGCTTTTTATCAGAAGTGTATACAACAAACTAACCCTTTACAATACAGATGAAGCACTGCAAATTTCTCCCATTTCCTAGCCATTTTAATGAACTTAGAAAGATTTCTTTAAATTTCTCTGTTGACCAAAATGCAAATTCAAGTGGGACAGACCATATGCTGATTGGTCTCTGGTGGTTTATGTTCAAAAAACAAATGCATTTAGGTGAAGTACCAGAAGATTATTAAGGTATATAGCTTTAACTTTGGTGTTTGGTTTGATAACATGCTGGTCCTATTACTAAAGTCTCCTTATACAAACCTTACATCTGTGCAATAAACAAACTGATATTAGACAGCAATGAAGGCGATTTTATGAACCTTGATAGCAATTATATTGACATGCTGGTCCACATACATTGGCTCAACTTTAATTTGTTGCAATCAAATCATTAAACTTTTCAATATTGCTAACCCGTGTTACTAAACTCAACGTCTTAATCCTCCGTTAGTCCGTGTTTCGAGGTAAATATGCCCCGTAATCATATCGTAGCAGCAAAATCTTGAAATTGGATGAATAGAACTCGAAGTATAATCCGTCGAATGATTTCATCAATTTTTAAACACGTTTTATTTTCAAATTTTGTAGTCATGATATGATTAGGCGGCATATTTATATGAAAAACGAAAGAGGCGTGAGATCGCTATTAATTTTTAACGTTTTCAGTAGGAATGTGTTGATAGGAGTAATAGAATGATTAAATATTGAAATTACATGATTGAGACAAATTAAAATTAGGCGATCCAATTACGGTATTACGGACAAAAAATAAATAACCCTTCAAATTGAGAAATCATTATTTGATACGGTGCAACCTTTTAATGGATTGCAAGCATGGGCTGTAATTTTTGTAGTTCACTCTAATTAGTGTGGAGCCCACTAATTAAGTTTCTAAATGAATTTTAGTTATACGATATTTGTTCCCACTGCTAAAATTTTGTACTTCAAAATGCCTGGACCAAAGAATAATATAGTATTTTGGCAATGATAAAACTTTTCCATCACTTTTTCCCGTCCAACTTTTCACCTTCCAAGGCTTCCATTGTAATCATTCTCATTCTCAAATACTGTGTATAAACTGTAAAATAAGAAAAAGTGGAAAAGTTTTGAAGTGTGAACTTTGAAGAATAAACAAAAGCTATGGTAAGAGACTTGTGTAATTTGAAGTTTGAAGAAAGAATAATAGTTAAAAATGATCAATACAAAAAAGGCCAATCTGTTGTTTAATTTGTGCCTCACCTTTGCATCTAAAGCTTAAATTTGCATCTCTTTTCTTTCAAGCTTTGTTCATATTTGTTAGTTTGGAAAGATAAATTATAGATCTCAAGTTTAGACTTCAATTTTTTATTATTATTATTATTTATTTTTTTTTGAACGTATCCAGGAGATGCGAAATGAAAAATATTAGTCCCACACGAAATTTGTGAATAAGTGATATTTTGGTTATTATTACGTGAGTCACTATATACAAATTTCTCCATTATTCATCCATTCTTCTTTTACTTATATCTTCACATATTTCTGATGATCCTACATCAAAATCTCCTTCTTCCTCACCCCAACCCTTCCCCTCACACTCCCCTCATTTACTATTTCTCCTCACCCCATTCATGCAATTCTCGAGTTCGTGTCTTTGCCATTCCCCTTCAAAAGGGACCTTTGGATAGAAAATTTTCAACCCCATTTGGTTTTGCTAAAAATTATATTTGTTTGATAAAAGTGACGAAATATGTGGTTAAATTGATAAAAAGACATAGGTCTTGCGAAAGGTATGAATTTTTATCAACTTTTTCAACTAAGCCAAAAGGGGCATAGAGTTGGAACTCCTTTTCACTTAGACTACTGAAAATGGCCTTTTAAAAAATAAAATGAAGGCCTCTGAAAAGGGTAAATAAAAACAAAAATTTGGACTAATTAAATAATTCACGTGGAGAGTGGATGCCCCAACAAGGCTTATCCTTCTCTTCCTCCCTCTCTACTCCAACTTACATAACGGTCAATTTACTTGTTCATAGTACACACGCTCACTGCTCGAGAGAGGAGTAGCCATGGCGGGCTTCAAGCTGCCCTACTCTGTACATACCAGATATGGCACCAAATTTCTGGTCCCATTCCCAACTTCAATATCCCACCCAAGATTCCACTTTACTTCTTCTGCTGGTATTCTTCTTTCTAGCATTTGGGTATATCTTTTTCCGATGAATTTTGATGCTAGAGTGCGTTTTCTTGGAATGGATGTGTTCTTTCTCTTTTCTTGAATCGGTAATCAGTGTTGGTTTTCTGCCCTTTTTATTATTTTCTCATTTTAGAGTTTTCTGGCGTTTGATTTATTGAAGTAATTTCGTATTATGTGGGCTTGTAATCATTGTTAGCATTATCTGCAGAGCTTATCAAGTTTTTCTTTACTTATCTTGTAGTATTAGTTTAATCTACTTCTACTTGGTGTGATTCATAATTCCTGGATTTTATCTAATGATATTTAGCTATTTGTTTTTATGTATTCAAGTTAATCTGGGTTTTCAGTATGTTTGTATAGGAATCATCCTCTTGCTGTTTTTAGCCTCAATCTATTTTATTAAGATTTATTTAGGCATCACTCCAATTGGTAATTAAGATTTTTTGTCGCTGTACTATTATTTCGAACAGAAAGGTAAAAATTTTGAATCAAGTTTTAAAATCCTTTTGATAGATGCCAAGGGTTTGATTACTGCCAAAACAAATTTTACACATGGTCGTTTTATTTATCCACCCCAGCATTCTGAATCATTTTTCTATATCTTTATTTTTGTATGAAATTTTACAATAGACCTTCTTTCCTGTGCTGCATCTAATGCTTAAAATATTTAAATAAAGGTTGCAGGGACCATGCAGGTTTCCTCATGCAAACTCTAGCTGTAATGTATCCCAATAGCTTGTGCTATAGGAATTCTCTGGCGAAAGTATCTTTGCAGGTACCACTCACGTCAAGAGGTAAAAATATGTTTAAATAGTTAATGGTGAGAAATTACTATTGTTTTTCAGCCCGTGAAGATAAAAATTGTAAATAATATTTTCATTCAGCATCAGCACAAGCCTTGACTGAGGAACTTGCAGAGGATAAGCAAAAGGATTTTCCTGCTAGTGGTGATGCTATACGTCAAAGATTTCTCAACTTTTATGCTTCAAGAGATCACAAGATTCTTCCAAGCGCTTCTCTTGTGCCAGAAGATCCAACAGTTTTGTTGACAATTGCAGGAATGCTTCAGTTCAAGCCTATATTCCTTGGCAAGGTGCTATAAGTGCCTCCTCGGCTTTTATTTCTAGTTCAAGGTGTAATGTCTATTGGAAAGAAATCAATTGCACAAATTTGTTTCCCTATGTGCTCTCTCTCTCTCTCTCTCTCTCTCCCTCTCCCTCTCTCTCTCATTTTCCTTTTTTGGGCTTGTATGGGGTGTTAATTTGTGTGAACTTAGTAATCACAAACTTCATAATTGGTTCCTATAGAATAGTGCTTTTTATTGATATCTCCCTTCCTTATGTTAAGGACCTCCTTGCCTTTTGTGTGGTCATTTGAGAAAGAAAACTCTGAACATAGTTTAATGGCCTTAGGCAATGTTATTAGGCTCAATGATCATAAGCAATATCACATAGGTAAACTTTATCTTTATATTTTCTCTTCTCCATTTCATTTGATACCTCATCAGTGTGTTTTTCCTGCCAAAAGAAATGACATTTTTAACTGCCAAATTTTACTGAAGATCTCAATGGAAAAATGTAGAGCTATTCCTCAATCTATTATGAATTATGACCGCTCTCCCTAAATTATACCAGATGGACAATTGAACTGTCAAGCAACAAATTTTGTGAGTTCAGGCAGCTTTTGGTTTTGAATTATAGTTTGACCCCCTCAGCTCATGTTGTTCAGGTGCCCAGAGAAGTGCCTCGTGCTACAACTTCTCAGAGATGTATACGTACTAATGATGTCGAAAATGTTGGTCGAACTTCCCGACATCAGACGTTCTTTGAGATGCTTGGAAATTTCAGTTTTGGAGACTATTTCAAGCAAGATGCTATCAAATGGGCCTGGGAGCTTTCAACATTGGAGTATGTATCAACTTTAATATAAGCTTTATATTATCACTTATTTAAATGGAAAAATTGCAGCGGAGGTCTAATAACTAGTTCGGGAAACCGACATTTTAACCTAATCTTCCCGTCACATAAAACTTGTGTAGCAGTTCTCCATTTCATACAAGCCGCTATAGTTCTATGATTGCATCCTCTTCAATCTTTTATTCCTTGTTATCGATCAAGCCTAAATATATAAAGCAATCACCTTTTGAGACAACACAATCCTCTATAGTGACTCTATTATTATCCTTATACTATTACTATAACGACATTACATGTAATCTGTCTTAGTTCTAGTTAACTCAAAACCTTTAGGTTCACAAGTATTCCTCTGGAGTTCTAATTTATGATTTAATGCCTTCCTAGTCTCATTAACTAAAACTATGTTATTCAGGAAAAATATGTATGCGGAAACCTAATCTTAAGATATGCTCAGAAGTTTATCCATGACTCATATCATAAGATGCAAAAAGGTTACCTTAACAGGTGGAGGTAATATTGACTGAGGATAATTTATAGAATAATGACTTAGGTGGTTTAGCAATATCTTTCATAGACATAAAGAGCACCTATTTATCAAGTTAGTAGATCTAAGAGGGAGGGTCGACCAAAACTAACATAATCCATTGTGGTTTCTAAGGATCTATTTGTTTTGGATCTTCCTAAGAATGCAACAATGAATTGAACTGAGCCTTGAAAAGGATTCGTGTAGTTGACCATAAATTTATTAGGAAAAGACCTAGTTTCTTGTTTGGATTTTTCCTGATAGGTTTGTTCCTATCTACCTGCTACTTATGCTCAACAGGCCTTATGGCAAATTATGTCACCTCCAATTTGTATTTGATGCATATTTCTTAACAGATTACTTATTTATTTATTTATTTATTCATTTGTTTGGAGGATGGGGCAGCTGGGCAGGATAATGAAACAATTTGCAGAAGTTGAAGACTCAATTTGTTAAAGAAACTTTCTTTTTGCACATATATTCTAATTTGTAAAGGGGGCTCACTGTGATACAAATGGGAGAACTCAAATATAAATGACAGAAATGCTACTAGTGTTACATTGTATTTCCTGATATTTGTCTCCATACGTTTGTTTACATTGTATTTCCTATGAGACATGGAAAGTGTTGACCTCTCAACTGGCAAAATAGTTTTCCTTCAGATCGTCAAATAATTAGATTAATTTGCACCACGAAGCTTTGCTAAGTGAAATTCAAAGACCCATAATGTAAGCTTTGTATTTACTCCTCAAAAACCATTTATAATAAGGTAAAATGAAGGAGATAAATGTGGGACACAATCTCAATTTTTTCTTCCAGTATGGCCCCATATAGGAGAACTGGACAGGTTCTCATGACCCTCAAGATTTGAAGAGCCGCAAAGGAATTATTTTCAGTTGGCAGATAAATAATTAAATAAAATAAGTCCCACAGTGTAATGGCTCTCTAACTGTTATTAAATTTATCATAATTGAGTTAATCCCGTCAGTGGTTAATATTGGAAGCGTCAACATTTAACTGGAGAAAAAAAGAAAGAAACTGCAATGTGGTTTTCAGCTTAGGCACGAACTTTCCTTTTATGCCCTGAATATAGAATTGTCTTGGTATAAATATTATAGCTTATGTTGATGTATAGTTGTGACATATAGGTTCGGACTGCCAGCTGACAGATTATGGATTAGTGTTTATAAAGATGACGACGAAGCTTTTGCAATATGGCACAATGAGGTAAGTAGAAAGAGTTTGTGTATATTTCAATGTCCAATATTTTCATGGGATGGGAGATGTACCTTCATCACACATGTATCTGTCCACGAATATTCTTTTTGTTGTGATTATTGATAGATGTATTTTTCAGTAAGAATTGGTTAGTACCTCTACTTACCTTCCAGTGAAGAGATACATGTCTAGTGACCAGACTCTGAGCATGTTTAGGTGGGCTTATTTCTAAAAAATAAGCCACCTTTTTGGCTTACTTTTTAGATATAAGCCTACCCAAACATGCTAACTATCTCTTTGTGCTTGAGATGTGGTCATGAAAGCGTCCTAGTCGTAGGCCATTAATTGAGCTTAATCAATTTCTTTCTTTACGAGCCAAATGCATTTTCATGGCAGTTACTTTACGAATGAATTTTAATAGGCTTACATGAAAATGTGAACATTTTATTTAACTTGATTTTTCTTTCTTTCAGGTAGGTGTTCCTGCACACCGTATAAAGAAACTTGGGGAAGATGACAACTTCTGGACCAGTGGAGCAACTGGTCCCTGTGGACCTTGCTCTGAGATTTATTATGATTTCCATCCAGAGAGAGGAATTTCAGATATTGTAAGCATTTGATATTAGTAGAAGAAGTTTGAATTTCATATCTTGATTCATTATTTTGGTGTTTTGTTAACTGTTTCTTATTTGGCTTTTGATATTATTTGTTTAACTAAATATTTTTGTACTTATGATTTTAATTTTCATGTTGGATGGATAACAGGATCTGGGAGATGATGCAAGATTTATAGAGTTCTACAACCTAGTCTTTATGCAGTACAACAAAAAAGATGATGGTTCACTTGAGCCCTTAAAACAGAAGAACATAGATACTGGACTGGGCTTAGAGCGCATGGCTCGCATTCTTCAAAATGTAAATTTTTCCCCACTAAATTCTTTGTTACGGAAGGAGTGCAACTAGTTTGTCACAATTATATAGATACAGTGCCTTATTTGGAGATAATTTTTATATTGAGTTGGTATTGCTAACGCCTACTCAGCCAAAATTATTTTTATTTGGCTTCAAAGGAACCGGTATCAAGGGATCAATAGGTCATTTTATATGAAAACTCTTTTCATCTTCCATTTTCTTTTGCAGGTTGAGAATAATTATGAAACGGACTTGATTTTTCCCATCATAGAGAAGGCCTCAAATTTGGCAAATGTATCATACACTCTTGCAGATGAGTCTAAAAAAACAAACCTTAAAGTAAGTTGCAATAGTAGAATTGTCACCTTTTTTTAAGTTTCTTCTTGGAAAACCTGATTAACTTATTTTTCAATTTTTTTTTCTCTTCACCTGAATCTCTTCCTATTCAGATAATTGGAGATCACATGCGTGCAATAGTCTATCTTATCTCAGATGGAGTTTTTCCATCAAATATTGGTAGGGGGTACGTAGTTAGGCGTCTTATCCGAAGGGCAGTTCGAACTGGCAGGTTGCTTGGTATAAAAGGTGATGGTATGGGAGACCTTGAAGGTGCATTTTTGCCTGTACTTGCAGAAGAAGTAATTAATTTAAGCACCAACATAGATCCAGATGTAAAAACTAGAGCTTCCCGCATTCTCAAGGAATTGGAAAGGGAGGAACTGCGTTTTGTATTGACACTAGAGAGAGGAGAGAAACTTCTGGAACAGATGTTGGTGGATGCATTGTCCACTGCTCAGGAAAATGGGGCTTTACCTTGTCTGTCTGGCAAGGATGCATTTCTTCTTTATGATACTTACGGATTTCCTGTGGAGATAACAAAGGAAGTCGCTGATGAATGTGGTGTTAGTATAGACATGAATAGTTTTGAAGTAGAGATGGAGAACCAAAGACGCCAATCTCAGGCTGCACATAATACAGTTAAACTTGCAGTTGAAGATGGTGCAGAACTAACAGAAAATATTCCAGATACAGAATTTCTTGGTTATGACATCCTTTCTACCAAAGCAGTGGTTGAAGGTCTGTTAGTGAATGGTAAACCTATAATGCAGGTTTCCGAAGGAAATGAAGTGGAAGTGTTGCTGAACAGAACCACATTTTATGCTGAGTCAGGGGGTCAAATTGGAGATCATGGTTTTCTGTATGTTACTGAGGCTGGAAAAAAGGAAGCTGTCGTAGAGGTAAGAGACGTCCAAAAATCCCTGGGTAACATATTTGTTCATAAAGGTACCGTCGTAGAAGGTGTTATCAATGTTGGCAAAGAAGTTGAAGCTGCAGTAGATGCAAACTTGAGGCAACGGGCGAAGGTACAACTTTTGAGACTCATCCATAAAGCCATCAAGTTTTTATATGAAATTGGTATATAAGCTACCAAAGCCAACATGGCGTGCAATACATTTTAAGACATTATACCTCATATTATGCTGTTCAAAACATTTTTCTCAAATATATTGTGATGGTGAATAAGGATAGGAATTGAAGATATCAAAGAAGATGAGGATTGAGGATATAGTTTGATTTGAATGTTTCTGTAATTTGAGACATTTCATTCATTTGCAAATTTTTCCAGGTCCATCATACCGCAACACATTTGCTCCAATCTGCACTTAAGAAAGTAATAGGCCAGGAAACATCTCAAGCTGGTTCATTGGTGGCTTTTGATCGCCTCAGGTTTGACTTCAACTTCCATCGACCTCTTAAAGACAATGAGATCATTGAAATTGAAGGCCTGATCAATAAATGGATCGGAGATGCAACACTTCTGGAGTCAAAAGTCATGCCATTGACCGATGCAAAGAAAGCAGGGGCTATTGCAATGTTTGGTGAAAAATATGGAGAAGAGGTATATACTACTGCTATTATTTATGTTATTTTTACATGATACTAAATGCAAGATGGCGGACGCAGAGAACAGATACTGTCACTGGAATTTCTGTTTGGTTTTGAATCTATATACATTTCTTTGAAAGGGAATAATCTGCATTTTCTTGGCGTGCTGAAATATTGCTAGAGAAATTTGTTAATCTTTCACGTATTAATATCCATCTTGAACTTAACTGGAAAAATGCATATATCCCTGGATTGTGATTTTTTATTTGATGCACCTTCTTCTCAATGAAACTTCATAGGTACGTGTTGTGGAGGTTCCCGGTGTATCTATGGAGCTATGTGGTGGCACCCATGTCAACAATACTTCTGAAATACGTGGCTTCAAAATAATTTCTGAACAAGGGATTGCATCTGGAATCAGGCGCATTGAAGCTGTTGCTGGTGAAGCTTTTATTGAGTATGTCATTGCCCGAGATAACCACATGAAACAGCTATGCTCCACTCTCAAAGTATGCCTTTTGTGGATGCTTTCCCTTGATATGGAACTTTTTATTGAACCTCTTTTTCTACGTGACCAAATTCATAATATTCACCTGATCTTCTCATTATATTTTCAATTTAAATTGTCCTTATCAGCATACTTCCTCTACTATCCACATGTATTATTTTATTTCACTTTAATTTTCTAAAAATTCTAGACTTGGACTTCTAGTCACATATTCATAACCATCACGTTATCGTGCTCCCATATGTGATTGTTTACTTTGTTATAGAGCTCACCAGGAAACAAAGATGTACCCTTTTTACCAAGTATCAAAAGAAAACTAACCGTGTATCTTCTATCTGAAAGATCGCGGCATAACCAAAGATGTAAAAAGTTTTTGCATAAAACAGGTTCTCTTGCATCAGGTTATTCTCATTTTCTGAAGTGGTACGTACTTTAAAAAATATTTTTGAAGGTAAACGCTGAAGATGTTACAACAAGAGTAAACAATATTTTGAAAGATCTACGAGAGGCAAGAAATGAAGTTTCAGCTGCACGTGCAAAAGCAGCCATTTACAAAGCATCAACCATCGTTAGCAATGCAGTTACTGTAGGATCTTCAACAAAGATCAGGTAAACATGTTCTTCCATGGTAATATGTCAATCCATTCTTTAGTTTAGTTTCTTGATTTAAAGTATGACCCCAACTTATTTTAATTTTCACACTGAAGATAAGTTTCTTATACGATTACTTCAATTTTTATGTATATTCGCATAAGACGGATCACCTCACTGTACTTATAGTTAGAACAAGTGTCTTCCCATTTCATTTGTACCTGAAAGACATTCATACAAATATAAATTATGGGCAGTTTCATTAGTTTATCGTAGCATCCCAAACTCTTTTCGAAGTTATGGCTCGCTTCACCCCTTCCATCTCCAATAACAGTACAATCCTCATCTCAAGTCAGACTAATCAGTCCATCATAGTCACTGGAGACAGAAGCGTAACAAGCCTAGTCTATCAAAATTTTCTAACTTCTGAGAACTATTTTTGTCCAGTGTGCTAGTTGAGAGCATGGATGATATTGATGCTGATGCATTAAAGAGTGCTGCAGAGTATTTAGTGGATACACTGCCTGATCCAGCAGCGGTGATTTTGGGCTCATGCCCTGGTGAAAAAAGAGTAAGTTTAGTTGCTGCTTTTACTCCAGGAGTGGTTGATCTTGGAATTCAAGCAGGGAAGTTTATAGGGCCAGTAGCCAAGTTTTGTGGTGGAAGAGGGGGTGGTCGGCCTAATTTTGCTCAGGCAGGTGGAAATGAGCCTGAAAAATTGTTGATTGCACTTGAAAAAGCTCGAGATGAGCTCATCTCCTTTCTATCTGAGAAGACAGGCTGAACATATATATCATAATTTGCAACATCAGCATGAAACACTGCTCGTGCTCGACAAAGGTGCGGTTGGTAGTCCACCGGCCTAAAAGCATAGATGTTACATTTGTACTCCCAATTAGGTAAATATTATCATTACACAACGTCCTTTTAAGAGTACCCATGATCTCTTCAAATTTGTGTGTTTTCTTTTCTTCATGGGGCATGAATTAGAAGTTGTAAATGACAATTCTCATTTGGGAATTGATGATATACTGTAATAGGAAATGTCCAAATCAGCCTCCCATTTTCCTTTTCGTTTTTTAAAAATTCTTCTGAAAAAATGTAAGAAAAGCAAGAATGGTAACTGGGTAAGGATACTTGATTCCATGGATTGGTATTTAAGACGATGGATGGGAATGCATTATTTTCTAAAACGGATGGTGGTTTTTACACTTTCACCTGCCTGCCTCTTTTTCTGTGAATTTCACTTTCTAATCTTCAATCTCATTCTCAATTAAAAACTTAGAAAAACAAAAGAAAATAAAAGAAATTGTTGATTCAATATTAAGATGCAATGATGGACCGAAATCATTTGTGGGCGCATTGCTTTACAAGTAAGTTTTAAGGATGTGTTCTACACGTGGGTATTTCAATCAGAGTAAACACTACATGTCTTGAAGGACTCTTGTTGCTGACTATGCGACATAGGGAGGCATAATTTCAATAGAAGACTGGTTATGAAGAGCCACCCAATTGAAAAAAGGTGGATCTAAAGGATGTTGATCTTGAAGATGAGTAAAATGTAACGATCTAATTGTATTCAGATCGCAAACGATAAATTTATAAGCACTTTGGATATCCTTCCTTTATAAGCCACTTTGAGAATTGAATTATACATATAAGTTATTGTTAAGAAAATATAAAAATTATGGATTATTCCAAACTTATGTTTTAAAATAAAATTTAGAAATCCAAACCACAGATGGACATTCACAATTTACAATTGGATTGCATCCCTATCAAATAGTATTGCTAGAAGACCTAAACTATCAAAAAGGGAAAAAAAAAGATATGTGCTTACTCTTTCTAGTCACGCATCCATAGAGCAAAAGTCGCTTCCTTTTTGAAAGCTCAAGCCCCTCAATGTATGAAGAATCGTAATCAATATTATCAACAACTAAATATTTTGGTGTAATTGATGAATTGCTAATTGGCTAATTTGTACCAAACAAGGGCATAATGAACATGATGGAGCATGGTACCTCGTGATTATAAGAAAATTATATGAGAATTGCTACTTAATAAAAGGTGTGATCTAAAATATATTTTTGAATTTAACATAATTAGAGGATACATGATCAACTCTCTTATTTTAGCAATGCAATATTATCGAATGTGTCTGAAAGTATACAATGTTCTTGATAAATTTATCGATGCTTAATCCTATAACTTGAATCAATAGCAAAGATATTCAACACAAGGTTAATTGACCAACTCGTCCATCAAATTGGACACTCTTGTCCTATGTCGACGTCCTTCTAGACTTCTAGCTAGGATTGGTAGCCAAAAAATTTTTATTGTACTTCTAATTATCCAGGAAGCAATCCTTTTAATTGTTTTATAAATTAAAAATATAGAATATAGAATAACATATACCATTACACAATCATATTTTGAGAAGAAACAAAATTTTAAGACACATCGAATAAAGATGTAAATATAAACCAACTTATAAAAGATTGGGTTACTCCTCTTAATAAGGTCGACATTTTAAGATGGAACCACAATTCTTACACATGGTATCAGAGCCCATTATACTCTAACGAACAATTTGATCCGGTTAAGACTCCAAAAGTGAACGTACGAATTTCAAGATTAATCTGCTCAAACGAGTCACCATATTGCGGAGGCATGTTAAGGGATAGAATCTCATATCGAATAAAGATGTAAATATAAATCAACTTATAAAAGATTGAGTTACTCATTTTGATAAGGTTGACCTTTTAAGATGGAACCCAAATTTTTAACACGCTTGGTTTGTGTTTTAGTTTTGAGTTGTAAGTTTATTTTCAGTTTTCTAGTTCGGGGGTCTATTTTAAAATTGCTTAAAATGTGTTTGATTTATTATTTTGAAAAATTATTTCTCAAAGCAGAAAGCTAGAAAATACGTTTAGTTCGAAATTTTAATATTTTAGACATTTTATCCCATAAATTTGATTATTCAATAAAATTAAATAATTTGATGTAATCAAATAATATATACATTTTAAAATTGGTGAATCTTGCAATGTTTTTTTTTTCTCTACAAAAAAATAACGAATTGAGTTAACAAAATGCAAAAAATAAAAATGAATGGCTCGTTTTGAAAATTTTATCAGTATTCATTTCAATATATTTTTTCAAATTTTTTGTATAAATATAATCATCAAGAGATATAACTATTTTTTTTTTTTTTTTAATTTGACAATTTTATTTTTTCAATTTTTTTTAGAATTTGTCAAAATTTTATTTTTTAGAACTTTATATTTTTGTTTTTTAGAACTTCATTTAAATAATATTTTATTTGAATGTTTATTTTTCTTATTTTGAGTGTTTTCAAAATTTTCATTGAAAATATTCAAAATGTCAAAAATGATTTTTCAATTTTATATTACAAGTTGAACCTTATTTTCGAAACGAGATTCTCAAAAATATCAGACTAAACAATTTGGTATTTTGCAAAACAAAATAACAGCTTGAAAATAGCAAATTAAGTGTGGCCTAACTTTAACTTTTTGAGTTTCTGCTTTTAGCTTAATCGACTATCTATATTTTAAAATATCAATTTTAACCCTTTTAAATTGCATTAATTCCTCTACTATCCATTAATTCCTTTTAGCTTCATCGAGTAATGTTATTTATCATTATAATTATAGAATATCAGTGATGTTGCAACTCATTATCTCTCACATTTCTCTCTCTCCTTCCTCTCATAAAAATTGAACTGTCAAATCTCATTATTTCACATAAATTGTTATATCACCGATATTCCATCATCATATGATAAATAACATTATTCTACTATTAAAGATAGTAATAATACAAAACGACGTCATTATAAATAATATTCATTTAATGACTATATATAGACAAAACAATAAATAATATTCATTTAGCGTGAATATTAACCAAAACAAGGGGTCCACCACCTAGAAGTACCAACTCATTTGAAGAAGAGGCATACAATTCAAATATTCTTCCTCGCAATTAGTTATTTCTCATCTTGTTCTAATTCAAGCATCAAGATCGGTGAATTTAAGAGGTAAATGTTGCAGTTAGGTGATAGAATTTATTGATTTTATTTACATTGATATTCGATTGTAATTATTTCATCAATAAACTAGTTTGATTCAATTTGTACTATCAATAGCTAGAATATTGATTTTAAAAAGTACAATAATAGTGATTCTTCTCTCAGTTAATTCATTTTTCAACGGAGGAAAAGTAAATTACGTTAAAAGTAGGGTTGGACAAAATATCCGAACCGAACCGAACCGAATCGAATCGAGCGAGTTTTTTAAAATGAAAT